CTGATGTTCACAGGGTTTGGAGTAGGGGCTTCAAGTTGAGAATCCCCCCTCCCCAACTCTGTAAGTCACTCGCAACTTGGAGTCAGGAAGCTGCCCTAGATAAGGCCTTTGATCTGCCCCAGCAGGACTCTTACTGCCCTCTGCGCATAGTCCATTTCCCCCCCTAATTAGAAGGCCCATGCAGAGGATTATGCAGAAATTAGCATAATTTGGGGGAGGAATTGTACATCCATGCACAAAAGAAGTGTAGGATGAAATGAACTCCATTCTAGAACCTGAGAAATCCTGGACTGTGCTTTGAGCCTTTTATAGGGGTTTTGGTGGGGTTGGTTGATGCCAAGACACTGTGACTACCTCTCCAAGAAATGGAGTCTTTCCCAGCTGAAGACCTTCCTCTGTGGACATGAATCTCTTGACTGCTCTGGGCTATGTCAGATAAACTTTGAATGCTCTATAAACACAGTTGCTTTGAGTCTAAGTAGCACCAAGAAGTACATTACGTAATGGTTATATTTAGCCAGCCAGATTTTGGGAAAGTCTTTCTAAATACAAAAATCCATGCTCTCCTAATAACTCACTCCTGGAAATGAGAGCATTGTTTTAGTTCCATCTGAATAAGCAACTGGCATTCATAAATCAGAATTAGTCACTTGGTACTCGTGTTGCAGTGTTTAATCTCATGTAATTCCCATTGGCTGTCCAAAATTAGCACCAAATCCATGGGACATCTCAGCTGAAGGTACCCCATTACTGAGAGGTGGAAGATGGGTTGAGTTTTGCTTTATTTATTTATTTAGGAAGCTTCTATGCCGCCCCATTCGCCGAAGCCTTGGGGCGGCTCACATCTTTCTGCTGCTTGCCATTCTTCACCCCCAAGGTTAGGTGCTCTCACCCCTAACTTACCTATTTTTTGTGCCTGGACCACCTTCCAGTTGGAACCAAAACTTAAAACAGTCCATTGGCAAGTATCAAATAGTCAAGCAGCCAAATTAGAAAGTGCTCAGTGGACAAAAAAAAAGGTGGGGGGGGAGGAATTCCTGGGACCAATAGAAGGGACCTTAAAGGGCCTTTGAACTGGTTCTGCAAATAATGTCTAAAAATAAAATAAATATATAAACCACCACCATATTCCTGCTGAGCCCACGAACGGTGACTGATTAATCTCATGCTACTAACTGGAGCAATGGGAGTGACTGGAGCAGATGCAAAGTAGCCAGACTGGAGGTGGTGATGGCTCAGATAGATCTTCCTTAAGGGGCAGATGGGCAACTGGTCACAGAGGGGATATAGTGGGCAAAGGGGCTTCTTCCTGAGCATCAAGGAGCAGGCGAGCTCAAGAAAGCATCCTTTCCAGTGAAGAAAAGCCATGGCAGGCACATATGCAAACACATTGCAAAGATCCTCCCTCCCTCCCTCCCTCCCTCTCTCTTTTCTAATCTTTGAAGGGTCTTTGTGTGTGTTTTCCCCAGTCAGTGTCAAAAGATGGCCTTGAGCCCAGAAAGCTTGGCCAAAATCTTGTGAGGCTAGCAGACATTCTTTGAGCTGGGTGAGCCATCTCAAACTGCTCCTCGTGAAAATCCACACGAGCCACTGCTCATTTTTTATTAATCTGCCCTAACAAAGTCCCTTGCATCTCATTAACATGCATGAAAAGCATGTTCCGCATCAGTTCCGAAAGGGCTTTCTCTCTCTCATCTCCATCCGGATATTTTTCAGCAAAGGCTGTGTGTCTGTTCTGGAAATGTCTTGCAACATTCGACTTTTTGTTGTTGCCAATTTCTCACCTCATATTAAGCATACTGGTGAACCAGTCTCGTCAGCAGTGAAAGCAAATGAATCTGCCCACGTACCATTAGACGTTTTCTTCTGAAAATTTTCTTTTCTTGGATTTATCCATGGTTGGCCCACCGGGGGTCGAAGAGCTCAATACATCGCGCACCGGCAGGTGTCGCACATTGGCGGTTGTGGTGCATACTTTGAGCGACAGGGAGCTGCAGCAGAGGGATGCAAGAGCCACATGCGGCTCCGGAGCCACGGGTTGCTGACCCCTGTTTTAGGGTCTCTGATTATGGGTTGATTTCAAGGACCCCATGAGAGGGACTGAGGAGAAGCTCATTTGGTTCACAATCTGATATGTATTTCCCTAAGCTCTCACTTGTGGACAAAAGCTTTCATGCCCTTTGAGTTGAGAGCTGTGCACAGACAGGAAAAGCACAAGGTAATGAGTATGTGCAAATGGATGTAAGTGAAAATGAAGTTCAAGATTGCACACAGCTGGGGAAAATGTTTGCAAAACGGAATATATTCAGAAAAATCACGTATTCAGAAAAATCCACAAGAAACCATACACGCTTTTACGGAGACTTCTTAAACGAAACCTAAGATTGAGAAAGTTCTTAAAGTGCAGGGAAATGGAAGTTAAGACTGGAAAAACGGGGGGGGGGGGGGATGAGATGTGTCCATTGTTACGTAGAGATTTGAAGCTTGGATACCATGACCCACCCCCAATACCTTCCCATTGATCATGAGCAGAGTCCTAATTCCACTGACGTTGAGATCTGACTCATCAGTTAATTACGACTTCACCAGGCTCCAAACCAACTCCGCAACATTTCCTTTCTCCTCCCACTTCCCCTGTGGCAAAACTAATAGGGTAAAAATAGACCTGAATTTCAAGATGGATATTTATTACATTGATATACTGCTCTGGAGCCCATGGGCTCTCTGGGCAGTTTACAAATATTAAAAAGCATAAATTCAATTAATAGTACACTTATGTTTGATAGACAGTAACGACTAAAACAGCAGCAAATAATAATATGTAAAACTGACTCATTGGAAAATAAAACACTACAGAGAAGGGGTGCCGCTACTGAGAAGGCTCTTCTAGTTGCCACCCCCTTTCCTTCTTTAGGAAGCTGGTTCCCCAAAAAGGATCTCCGTCTACGATCCAGTAGGAGGCAATGAATCCTACGAAGGGGCAGCAGCAGGTCCTTGAAGAAGGAACAGAATCATGCAGGTGGAAGGGCTCTAGAAAGCCATGGAGCCAACCCCCTTGCTCAATGCAGGGCTCAAGTCACCCATCCAAATGCTAACCAGCCCTGACCCTGCTTAGCTTCCATGATTAGGCAGGATCAGGCACTTCGGGCTATATGGAAGCTCATGCCTGGACACCCAGTGCAAACTGACCATAGTACCATGTCTTGAACTGCCATTTAAAGCAATGCAATTATTTAGAAATGTGTATCTGGACTGCAAATTGTATGCAAATTTAAGTCCTCTTTGATGTCCTTTCTTTCTTTTGGGGGTGTGTCATTTCCTCAAGCTGGGGAGGGGTTTTAGCTCAGGCTCCGTACTATGGGAATGTCCTTACTTCCACTTATGTATCATACATTCAGTTGCGTTAATAAATGATTCTGCTTTTGTCAGGCTCCAAGCCAGCTCCACAGCCACAATTGTTACTATTCAATCGTTCTGTAAAGGTTATAATGGATGAGGCACGGAGAGACGTCTTTGTATGGTTGCTTCTCTGACATTTCTCAATCCGAGCTTAATGGGTGCTAAGCAACCAGAAACATTTAGAAGACCTTTCAGAAACAAACTTCAATAGTGGGCCATCGCCCGCCTCCCTGTGTGGTCCATATAATGCATCGAACTGTTACAGACGCATTCCAGAAGGACAGGAATGAGTGTGGAATGTAGAATTTGTTCCATAGTGTGAGATCCGGCTAATTTTTACCATGTACTGTGTGGATCATGATCTCCTACACTTTGGGAACTCTTTGATGTGATTATCTATGGATGGAAGACATGAGTAATGATTCTCTACCACAAAGACAGTTACAACACATGTTGTTAAATGCATGAAACTACATTTATGGTAATGAGAGGATTCCACTCTTGGAGAGGTGCAGGAAGAGTTTTAGGTAGACAGGCAGATGATGGGTGATAAGACAGGTAGACAGGCAGATGATGGGTGGGTGGATGGATAATAAACAGGTTCTAGTTTAGAAACTTCATAGCCTGGAGCTAGTAGTGACTGACCAAGAAAAAGACCTTGGGGTTGTGGTGGGCAGCCCAGTGCAAATGTTAACCCGGTGCGTGTCTGCTACAAAAATGGCAAATCCTATGTCTGGGATAATTAAGAAAGGAATTGAAAATACAACTGCCAGTACTATGCTGCCTTCACACAAATCTATGGTGTGAGCACGCTTAGAGTTCTGTACACAGATCCATATTGGAGAGCTGAGAAGTCTTCTGCCGTTCTCTTTGGTATTCAGTATCTGAAAGAACTTCAAACAAATCTAAAGAACCAGACGGAGCCAAATGAGAATTTGCCAGATGTCCAATGTGCCTCTTATCCCTGCCCAGATAATACAGTTATACTGAACTATTGTTTGCACTTCTGCGACATGAGTAGAGATGAGTCCAAAGAAGAGGCAGGGCCAGGGAAGCTGAGAGCTGATATAATGGTGTTAGTCCAACAACCCTACCTACTTAGGACTCAGGCTTAGGGCCACACCTTCCTTGAATTGTCCCAGAGGCAGAGTTCCCCTCCTTTTACGGACTTGTTGTTGAGCTCTCAAGCTCCTCCAGGCTTTCTGGCATGGATTGCTCCTTGATACTGCTTGTCTTTCGGAGCTCTGAACAGGATTCTTCCCATGAGAACATGGCAGCATCCATCCTATAAAGCTCTTTAGTGATAGAAGCATGTGGCATGTTTTGATTGAAGCCTTTAGAGATGCCCCTGCTAGTAGCCTAAATGCTTTAGGCTCAGCATATTTAAGGTCTCTGCCTTCAGCTTCATGATGACCTGCAAACTGATAGCATCCTAATTCACCACTGACCTCTTCTTGCAGGTCACCGATGCAATCATGATATTAGTTTCGCAGAGAAGTAATATGCTTCCTGTAATTTTCGCTTCACAGGGGACTGAAAAGGAAGAAGGATTGAACAGCACGATTGGATCTGAGTAGACTCTTTTTGCTTTCCCTTGGATTCTGTGCCCATCCAGCACGATCTCAGCCCCAAACATGGGTGTCCCAGCATGGGCACTAGCCCTGGTGACCTTCTCTTTATTCCATCAACACATCAGCGGTGGACTCATCAAGAGAATAATCCGGCAGAAGAGGGACGCTGGAATCAATGTGACATTGCCAGAGGACAACAAGTCCGTGGTCTTCAACCATGTCTACAACATTAAGGTCCCTGTGGGTTCCCTTTGCTCAGTGGACTTGGACCCGACGAGTGGTGACGCAGAACTCCCCTCTCAGATCGAGCCGAGCAGCAACTACCAGGAGCACACGCTGAACGAGGAGAACCAGATTGTCTTCACGCACAGGATCAACATCCCACGGAGGGCTTGTGGCTGTGCAGCTGCTCCGGACATCAAGGACCTTCTCAGCCGGCTTGAGGAACTCGAGGAGCTGGTTTCATCTCTGAGGAATCAGTGTGCCAGTGGAGCTGGGTGCTGCCCCAGTGCACAGCCCGTGGAAGGTATGGTTGAGAGCCCACAGCAGGAGCAGCGGGAGAGTAGGTGGTCCTAGCGGGCGCTGGGGGTTTGAAGAAGTGCAAAAAGCAACTTAGCAAAGCGTTGACCAGACCTCCCCAAAATATCCAAGCACAGGGGCACCCCACATGAACCCAGTGAGGCCAGAGCATGCGCAGTGGGCACTCTGTGTGGGGAAATGACAGAAAACTGGAAGGGGGAAGTTCATGAAACAACATACTCTGAACTTCCTTTCTGCTGCATTTGGACCCTTTCATGGCATTCCAGAATGCCTACCTTATCCTCCTAATGGTAAGGCGGCCCTTCAGGTCAACAACAGGGAACCATTTTCACATTTTACTGACATTTCAACTGGCAAAAACGTTAGTGGTGAGTGACGGAGATTTGCCATAACAGAAACATGGAAAGATTCCTGAAGGAAGTGCTTGAAGTATGTTTACAATCTAGGCAAGAGCATTAGGTCATTGCTCGCAGCCAGGCATAGTTTGGACTACAGCTAAAGTTGCATTTCCCCAGGAGAAGAAGACATTCCCCAAAGCTTTTCAAGGATGAAGCTCAGCATTAGCAATGAGAGGAGCCCAGAACCTTCTTTTGGGGCCAAGGGTTGTGTTGGTTTTGTGTGAAAGTGACAGTAGAAACAACCAGCAACTTGCCCACTGTTTTGCATTTTCTGCAGTGCCACAGACGTAACATCATACTGGGACATGTTAGTGGGGGGCGGGGGGGGGGGGCAGCAGCCACAATAGAAAAATGGTAGGGGATATTAGAAGAAAACTCTGTAAATCAGCCTTCCCCTTCTCCAGTAACATCATTTGTACATCAGCTTCTCCTTCCCCTTCTCTCAAAAAGGAAAAATCTCAATTTTTCCTCCATCAAAATAATGCTTCTGAGAAATGTTGGCTTTAATCCAGAGAATGGCATTGTTCTGGCCATTGTTCTGTCTGCCAAACATTCAGTCTATATAAGCTCAGCAAAAGGGGGGGGGGGGACAAGAGGAAGTGCAGCAAAGTTCTATGAGAACAGCGTGTGTTCATTTCATCTGATTAGTCTCTTTAAAAATGGATGGCCCTATTTCCCAGTATTTGTCTAAAAGTCCCCCAGCACAGAACAACAGATGCATAAATCACTTAACATCTGAAAACAAAATCAATAACGAAATCCTATTCGTGATCTCCCCAAAAATTATTGCCATCCATCACTATCATGGCTAGTATTCTTCGATGCTCTCTCCTCAAATTGGGAAGATGGTGGAGAGAAGAAGAGAGAGCTGCTGGCTTTCTTGAGGTCTCAGGCCTGCAGATGGTAATTAATGATGTGCACCTTGGTTTAAGGTATTGCAATGCAAGACCGGCTTAAAGAAACATGGCAGAATTGCCTCAAAAACCCTCTAGCATAAAAACACGCCTACACATTTTCATTGCGAACTCTGTCCAAGAAAAGGGTCCTTCTGCAGAACCTGGAAAGGGCATCAGCGTTTATACTGAGCCATGTTCCTCAGCAGGTCACTAGTGACCACTTTCCTAACCTCAGTTAAGTGGGACCATTCACCATCTGACCTCAGGGTGTGTATTGGAGCGTATTGGAGTGGACAGTCCTTTGGAGATCATGGCCAGCTGTAGAAGGAGCATGAGAAGTCACTCCTTGGAAGGAACTGGAGAGAAGTTGTCCTTCCTTTGCATGGTGTGCTTGCTGCTTCTCAGCATGGCCATCACAACCGATGCCTAAGAAAGAGCAGTCCATGATAGGCATGTGAGGCAGGAGGAGAGGCTGGTGGGGGGTAGGTGAGCAGACCTATGAAAGCCCGGCTTCCCATAAAGTATTGAACATGAGGGCTGAGTCCGGGAAAGAGGGGCTTGCTTAAGGCCGCTGAGAAAGAGACAGAATCCAATTCAGGGCTAGCTCACTCTCTTCGAAGCCACACTGCTATATTACTTCTGCTGACTTTGAGTAAGTCCCAAGCTTGGAGCACAGCCCATGAGTAGCACGATCGTGGGCCGATCAGCTGCAGCTATGCCACGACACCAGGCAAAGATCCATGACGTGGGTGCAGTCGCAAGAGGGAACAAAGATTTGAATGGGGAAAGCTCTGCTGCATTCATTTTCAGGGTTTAATTCAAGTAACTCTCCGAGGTTAAACAAGAATTCCGAAGGGGGTTTCTGCAAGGCAGGGAGATCCTGGGTACAGAACAACAGTCCCCGTGGTTTGGCTGACTGCCACAGCTGCTCCCTGCAGGTAAAACCCTCTCTTGTTCCCCTGGTGTAGGTCGCATTGATACCACCCCCTACTGCAGTGGCCATGGAAACTACAGCAACGACATCTGTGGCTGTGTTTGTGAGTCCGGCTGGAAAGGGCCCAACTGCTCGGAAGCGGAGTGTCCCTGGAACTGCAACAGAAGGGGCCGGTGTGTCCTGGGCAAGTGCATCTGCGAGCAGGGCTATACCGGGGACGACTGCGGGCAGCTGACGTGTCCAGGGGACTGCAACGACCAAGGCAAGTGTGTCGACGGGCAGTGCGTGTGCTTCGACGGCTTTGCGGGAGAGGACTGCAGCGAGGAGTTCTGCCTGGTGCCCTGCAGCGAGCACGGGAGGTGCGTGAACGGGCAGTGCGTGTGCGAGGAGGGCTTCGGCGGCGCAGACTGTGGCCAGCCCCTGTGCCTCAACAACTGCCACAACCGGGGACGCTGCGTGGAAGAGGAGTGCGTGTGCGACGAAGGCTACACCGGGGAAGACTGCGGCGAGCTGATCTGCCCCAACGACTGTTTCGACCGCGGTCGCTGCGTCAACGGGACCTGCTATTGCGAAATCGGCTTCACCGGGGAGGACTGCGGCATCCTGGCCTGCCCCAGCGACTGCCATGGCAACGGGCGCTGCGAGAACGGGGTGTGCGTGTGCTACGAAGGCTTCACAGGGGATGACTGTGGCCAGCGGCGGTGCCCCGGCGACTGCCACGGCCGCGGGCGCTGTGTAGAGGGGCAGTGCCTGTGTGGTGAGGGCTTCCTGGGCCCGGACTGCGGTGAGGTGCGGTGCCCCGGCGACTGCCACGGCCGTGGGCGCTGTGTGGACGGCCAGTGCGTGTGCGAGGAGAGCTTCACGGGCGAGGACTGCAGCGAGCGGCGCTGCCCCGGAGACTGCAGCAACCGGGGCCGCTGCCTCCACGGGCAATGCGAGTGCGACGAGGGGTTCATGGGCCCGGACTGCGGAGAGCTGAAGTGCCCCGGCGACTGCCACGGCCGCGGGCGCTGCGTCAACGGGCAGTGCGTGTGTGACGAGGGCTTCGTGGGCGAGGACTGCGGCGAGCGGCGGTGCCCCGGCGACTGCCACAACCGGGGGCGCTGCGTGGAGGGCCGGTGCGTGTGCGATGAGGCCTTCACGGGCCCCGACTGCAGCGAGCTGCGCTGCCCCCATGACTGCAATGGCCAGGGCCGTTGTGTCAACGGCCAGTGCGTGTGCGACGAGGGCTACACAGGGGAGGACTGTGCCGAGCGGACGTGCCCCGACGATTGCCACAGCCGCGGGCTGTGCATCAATGGCTCCTGCGTGTGCAACGAGGGCTTTGTGGGCCTCGCGTGTGAGGAACTGGCCTGCATGAACAACTGCCACAGCCGCGGGCGCTGCGTCAACGGGCAGTGCGTCTGCGACGAAGGCTTCGCCGGCGCGGACTGTGGCCAGCGGCGGTGCCCCAAGGACTGCAGCGGCCGAGGGCAGTGCATCGACGGGGTGTGCGTGTGTGACGAGGGCTACCACGGGCCGGCCTGTGGCCAGCGGTCTTGCCCCAACAACTGCAACAACCTTGGCCGCTGTGTGGATGGGCAGTGCATCTGTGAGGAGGGCTACATAGGAGACGACTGCTCTGACAGTAAGTTCAGCTAAAAAGGTAGTCCACGAAACATTTGCGCATTATTCCCATAATTTTGTGTTCATGTACCAAGCAGGCGGCGGCCTCCAATGTGAATGTTTTGGCACGTACGTCACTGTTTCTTCACATGTGGAGACATTTTGCCCCCTGCCGCAAGCACATTGTGTTGTGGTGGTTTCAAAACTTTCCTTTATTGAGAATTAAAGCAAACCAAAGCAAACCAAACATTTGGAAGCATAACAGTTCGTGTGACATGATCGAAAATCCCTTCCATTCCTGCCCCGAGATGGAGTTGACAATTTGGGGGAAATGGAGTCTTCCCGGTCTCCTACCAAATTATGAAGCCTGCCAATGGCAGTAGTTCATTTCTTTTGTCTTGGGTGATCCCAACAGACAATGGGTATTTCCAGGAAACATTTAAGTAGACGGGGTCCCCTTGACTGTGGCTCCATTTATGAGGCTCAAATTGAAATTGTTATATTGGATCATGAACCAGTGAATGCTCCTGAGCACCTGTATTGGAGGTTAAAGCACCTCCAGGCACATGAAGTTTCAGGCTGACTCTTAACTATGGATCGTCTCTGCTAGAACTCTTCCTAATGATTCCTAAAGCCATCTAAGCCCTATCAGAACCTCTCAAACTGAGTTGTACAAGCCGAATCCCTTGCTTTGCTAATGTTCTGCACTGTGTCCAAACACTCCTGCAAATTTGTCTTAATCTCCCATAAAATCCAGAGGAAATTCACAATTCCCTACTGATCCCCAAATGCGCTCAGTTTTTGAGACATGTTGAATGTTTCTGTGTGGTAAAAAATAAAAATGCACAATCCCTGGATATACAGTTTCACTGCACGAATGGCCAACCGTCTAGTCTTGTCTGCTCCTTTAACAGGTTTCCAAATTCATGTCCTTGGCTGATTTTATATTTTTAAATCTTCCCGCCAGTATCTCCTCCAAAGGATCTGACGGTTCTAGATGTGACAGACAAGACCATCAACTTGGAATGGGATAATGAAAACGTCGTCACAGAATACCTCATCAGCTATACCCCGACCGGCACTGGAGGCCTTGAGATGCAGTTCCGTGTCCCTGGCAACCAAACCTCGGCCACCATTCGCGAGTTGGAGCCTGGTGTCGAATATTTCATCCATGTCTTTGCCATCCTGAAGAACAAGAAGAGTATCCCCATTAGTGCCCGGGTGGCCACTTGTGAGTACACGAACGGCCGATACGTTCATTGGCAAAATGATTCCTGCCATGTGGAGAACAGTGGTGCACTCCATCAGTTTATTTGTTTTCAACATGCTTAAGCCCAACGTAAGGAGAGACGTTGGTGATTTTGGAAATGGGTCTCTTTAGAACCCCTCCACCCATAAAAGTTGAGGGGGCTTTTAAGAGTGTGACCAGGGTATTGAAGTACGAAAGACTTTTTTGAGTGGTGCTCAAAAACACATGCTTTAGACTATTTCCAGTATGTCTTGTTTGTCTGTATGAATTTCGGACATATTCTAGCATACAATATTGCATGCATGTGTTCAAATTGTTCTTTCTTTGCTCCTGTCCTCTGGTATTTGAATGCATTCTGGTCTTCCTCTGATCTTCTGTTACATGCTCATGTGAAGAAATGCACTGTATCCATACTTATGCTGAAGCCATGACTCACACCCTTTCTTTCTGCTTGTGCTTCTCAGATTTGCCAGCCCCAGATGGCTTGAAGTTCAAATTGGTTAAGGAAACAACAGTAGAAGTGGAGTGGGACCCCTTGGACATTCCATTCAGTGGGTGGGAGATTGTCTTTAACAGCATGGTAAGGAGGAAATCCATGTGCAAGTCTTCCATTGAGACTTGAAAAGCCTGGCCTCCAGTCTTGCTTCTTCATTGTTCCATGGATTGACCCTTTCATTGCAGAAAGAAGAGGACAACGGCGGAATAAGAAGCAGTTTGAAGAGACCACAGACATCATACATACAACCTGGCCTGGCTCCAGGACAACAATACAATGTGTCTCTTTATGTTGTGAAGAATCAGATCAGAGGACCTGGCCTCTCTAAGGTGGTGACCACAAGTAGGTAGTTCTCTTCACGCTTCTGTAGCAGTGGTCAGGACTGAGAACATTTATGGTCACCTAGAAGCTTCTTGCCACATGAAGGTTTTCTGTTTGTTTGCGTAAGCATAAATACCAAAACAATAGATGCTTCCTCCCACCTCACATTCACTTACCTTTGAAGAAAACCTTCACCCTTCCAGATGCATTTTGCTAAATGAATCGATGGTGATGCAATCCCCTTCAAACCTTATCTTGATGCTGTGACTCTGCCTGTTTTAAATTCTTTCCATGCCTTCTTCCCCTGTACCAGAACTTGATGCCCCCAGTCAGATCGAGGCAAAGGACGTTACAGATACTACTGCACTGCTCACGTGGTTCAAACCATTGGCTCAGATCGATGGCCTTGAGTTGACCTATGGGCCCAAAGATGCTCCAGGGGACCGAACATCCATTGACCTCTCTGAGGATGAAAGCCAGTACTCCATTGGAAATCTGAAGCCACACACAGAATACGAGGTGACGCTGGTGTCCCGTCGTGGAGACATGGAAAGTGACCCCATGAAAGAAACCTTTTTCACGGGTAAGAAATTATCATGGACAGGCTGGACATGTGCATGGTGGGCATGCCATGAGCAGAGCCAGCTGGAACCGGGGGTCAGACTAGATGGCCCAAGAGGACCCTTCTAACCCGCTCTGTTTCTATGCATGTTAAATCTGCTCCCATCTACTGGCTTCCAAACATTCTACTCTCAAACAACCCTTTCCAGGTTGACTTCTCACGAAACTGTGCCACAGTGCAGAGAACTCGGGTGCCCATTGAATTTACTGCACCTTGAACTGCCTTAAAATGTGTCCAAAATGCCTCTGTACCACCGGAGGGTAGAAGAGAGTGTTCACACAACAGACAAACCATGGTAGCTTGTTGTGTCATCTGAACTCAGCCAGAGTTCATGCTATTAAATTTTGGTCAGAACTTTGAATACAAATCTTAATGCTATTTTTAACCAAATCCACATAGAAACTGGACAGAAACGACTTCCAGATGGGACACCCTGAAGTTGGCAGATTGCTCTATCCAACTGCGAACCCAAAGTCTGCCCAAATCTCAATTTTCCTTCTCCTCTCCAGATCTGGATTCTCCAAGGAATCTGAAACGCCTCTCTCAGACAGATAGCACGATTGTTCTGGAGTGGAGGAACAGCCAGGCAACTCCTGAAATTTACAGGATCAAGTATGCCCCGCTTTCTGGGGGAGATCATGCTGAGATCACCGTGGCCAGGAGCAACCAAACCACAACCAAAGCTACACTCACAGGTAAACCTGTCCGACCATCATGGAATGAAGGCTGAACCAAATGTTTATTCATCGGTAACCGGAGCACACATGTTTTACTGCTATCCCTTTAACCAAAATGGCAATACAGATGGGATCAATTGTTCTGACACGGAATTTAATGCAAACTTACCTAAATAGGCTCTTTGGATCTCACCTCAAAACTCCGCTGTCTTTCAAAATTGGCTGTTCCCCACCTTTTGCAGTGGAGTTTTCCTATCAAAATGTATGCATTAAAAAGTGGAAAATATAGCATTATATCAGGAAGGCTACTTGCAAAGAAAAATGTCTATCAGAGGGAAATGTTAACAAAAATGGCAGCATTAAGAGATGTATGCAGAAATAAGCTTGTGCAATTTCTTGTGAATACTTCTTTGATCTCTACTGGCCCTGAATTTAATATTAAAAACAATGGTTCGGGATAAACCAGACATAAGACTGGGAAAAGGAGAAGCTGAAATCAACAGGTGTATCCATGCCTGAGTGACAGTATGAATAAATTTTTGTTCTTGTTGTCATCATTAAGGTTTAAGGCCTGGGACAGAATATGGCATTGGTGTAACAGCTGTGAAGCAAGACAAGGAAAGCGCACCTGCCACCATTAATGCTGGAACTGGTAAGGAAAAGACTTGTCTTCCTTGTAAAAAGAAGAATCCTATGCTAGGGACCTTAAAGTTTGAGCCAGGACCCTTCCAATGGAATGCAGTGGACTATATGACTTAAACCCAACTTTATGGCCCTCATCCAGCACAGAAAGGATCAGTGAGGTGCAAGATTATACCCTGTGGTTAGGTGGCAGTATGCAGACTTTAGACTGGTCAGGACTGGTACTCATTCTAGGAATCTGGCTTCTAGCTTGCCCTGCTTCTGCCTTCATCTCTTCCCACTTAAAGATATTGAACTTGGGGTTCCTGAGCTGACAAATATATCCTCTACGTTAAGATTAATGCTGTCACCCCCATCCCCGGCCGTCATGAACTTGCTAGAATACTAAGGAAAGCCATCAAAGAAAGGCTCATGATATCTACATCCAGATTTGCTTTCTCTGAAAGATTAGCAAGCAGTGCAACTTTAAACCATGACTACCACCATGTGTCCAAAGCCAGCATTTGACTAGACAGTTGGAGGTTTTCTGGATTCCAGAGGTGGCACCAGGCTGGGCAGCCTTCAGCTCCAGGGCCTTGTGTGGCCCTTGAAATGGGACCATTTCAGAAACTTTTTCAAGGCAACCAGTTTAGACCTCTGCAGGAGAGATTTTCCCCACCCCACCAGCTGGGAAGAAACAGAGCAAGAGAAAGTGGAGTGGCTCCACCTGCTCTTGACTTCGAGTCTGCCTGCTGATGTTTTGTAACCCCTAAAGACAGGTGGTCCTCAGCAGAAAGAAACCTTCTATACTACTATTTTAGGGGACCTTCTGAAAGACATGTCACTTTCACTGGACATGCTCTTCATTCACACAGGATGTATCTTCCACTGTCCTCCACACTGAGACAGTGGACAATTCACTTCACTTATTGCAGTAGCTGAAGCTCTCCAGATGTTTTACACACTTCACAATATCAGGCACATTCTCCTGATCCCGTACATGAGAACAGTTAAGATTTTAGGCACAGTGATATCTGTTCTGGCTGTTATGTGCCATCAAGTCTTCTCCAACTTCCCATGACCCCATGACCAGATCCCCTCCAAAATGTCCAGCCCACAACAGCCCTGCTGAGATCTTCTAAGTTCATGGCTTCCTCAACGGGGTCCACCCTTCTCCTTTTCTTCTTCTGCCTCCGACTTTCCCTAGCATGATTGTCTTCTCCAGTAATGCCTACAACACTTATTAAGTAGTGGTCGTAGCTAAGATATTGTTAATTATAGAAATGTGCCAATGGAAAAGGAACTCGAAGGGCAGAGCGTAGGGCACCTGGAAGGGTGATCTCCCTTGGGCTCAAACTGGATTGCCTCACATTAATTCAGACTGTCCTTCCCACCAAAACAAACCCAAAAATAAAAGCTGGGTCCAGCTTGCCTGCATCTCAACTGACCGATCTGGCCTGCCACAGTCCTAACTGAGGACACATTTGGGTCTAAATCCAACCACTACTTCCCCATTCCAGCTAGTCTTTAGAGCAAAGTATTAGCCAGTATAGGATTTAGGTGTCATGGTACTGATCTGAGGGTTGCGGGAAGTCCTGTTATCCCCCTACACTCGTATTTCCAAGCCCTTCCAGATGCAGTCCCATTTTAGAAATCTGCTCTGGGTGAGGAATGGAATGTCTTCCAAAAATGTTGCCGAGAATAAAGGAAGCCTTTTCTGTGGCCCCCTGCTTCTGGCAATGACACTTTTGTGTCTACAGAAGCCCAGCTTACTCTTGGCAGCGCAAGCTGAATGCCAGTTTGCTCCATCTTCCGTGTGGGTGGCTGGATTGCCGTCCGCTGCCTTTGCTAGACAGAATGATCCAAGGAGCCTTTTCTTCCCAGCTCCATCTGCAGTGCAAGCCACAGGCTCCATATCCAGCTGAGAGCCAACCCATCCCTCTTTGCACTGTTCACAGAGGGAGGCACCCCAGTAAAACCAGAGTTAAAACAGGAGAAATCCAGTGCTGACATTCTTCTGATGGGCCCATCGTTTCAAACGAAGTTGCTCACTTCCAGCAGACATGAAGCCATGCAGGCAGGCCTGGATTGCACAGCTGCCTTTTCCCTTATATCAGCATATTTCCTCCTTGGCACTCTCTCTGTCCTGGCACGGAGAGAGAAACCAGGAGATCAGTAAGTGTAGGGGCATGTTGTTTGGGCTGGTTCCCTTCCCTCTGGTTGGTTTCCAGGCCTGAAGAGAATATTGGCTTGGCCTCAAAGGCTGCTTGTTCGTCGCCTGAAAGCAGTGGCTAACCCATGGTTGGCAACGGGCACCTTCTGGACCACAGTCCTTCATCTGCCCACCACTGTATCTTACAACCCGGAACATTTTCCAAATGACACACACAAACGGAAACCGAGTGATGGGAACTGACGGAGCTTAGCTCAGGGATTCCTCCCACACACCACCTTCGGACAATGTGTAACTTTTTAGTGGAGGAGGTGGCATCTTTGATGTTCAACAGCACTTCTTCCCACACTCAGATCTGGACAGACCCAAGGACTTGGAGGTCACCGATCCTACGGAAACCACACTCACCTTGCGGTGGAAACGACCCCTAGCCAAAATTGACCGTTACCGCCTTACGTACACGACGCCGTCGGGGAAGAAAAATGAAATAGAGATTCCTGCAGATGGCACCTCACACATCCTGAGGTCTCTAGATGCTGGGGTGGAATACACCATCAACCTGGTGGCAGAGAAAGGCAGACATAAGAGCAAACCTTCGTCAGTGACTGGCACCACCGGTATGTTGTCTTTGAATCATCCTCTGATTCCTCTTTTATCCAGTTTGGCTTCAGTTATTCTGCTGCACCTGAAGACTTGTCTCCTTGGCTATTCATCAACTCCTCTGTGGAGAATGTCCTCTGGGTGGTCTCACCATCTATGCAGCCAATTGCAGAGGGATGCAGTACAGAGTTTCCATACATTGTCAACACTATTAACTGCTGTCTAAGACTATTCTGTATTCAGCAGACCCGTGAAGTGCAAATGTACCCGGAAAAACGTTTGTGTGAATGCTAGGTGATCCCCCCACAGTGGGTTGGTAGAGGGGATGGTTGCTTTGCATATTCCACAGGAAAGCTGCAATGAACAAAAAGGCCTCTTTCCACAGATCAACCCATAAATGGGTAAACCATGCACCTCTCCCCACCAATTTCCCCAACACACACACACACACACACCCCTTTCAGGCAGAACCCAAAGCCTCTAGTGAGGGCTCATTATGAGACAACTGAGAACCTACCAGGCTGATCCTGTGCAAAGGGCTGAGAGCGCAAGATGCTGACACAGGCTGTTCCCAGCAGCTGAGCCAACCTTGCACTGGCATGCAAACTCCCCAAGGCTTTCTTGGGGTGCCTTTCTCAGTGACTATCACTCTAGAGGTTTCTTGGGGGCAGTGCTTCTACTGAGGTCTCTCACGGAGTCACCTGCAAACATGGAAGCTGGTAAGGCACTGCTTTGACTCAGGGGCTTCCTCCCTGCTCTTGTCCCAGTAGGTAAACATCAGCAGGACCCAGAAGGGCCCAGAAGGATGCTAGAGTGTGCCTCAGGGAGTCCGTCTTTCCCTTATCTCTCCTGAGCACTTCCGGCCTGGCTGAGAGAACCTTCCACCCTGAGCCTAAACATGCCTGACAGCTGCTCTGAAGTGATGTTGATTCTCTTTATGTTCCCTGAGAGTTGCTCCTGGCTGGGCCTCCAGGCAGCAAAAAGTACACCAAGTACTCAGAACTTGATTTCCTGAACTGGCTTCTTTAATTCTTCAGTGAAATCCCCCAGAGGTACTCCATAAAACTAAAGACAGGGATAATTTGAAAGTATTCTTAGAGATAAAAATGAGTGTTTTTTATTCCTTGCCTGCAAAAGCAAAGCAACCAAGTATGGATAGTTCAGACTCTCAGACCCCTGATCCAGAGAAAGTTGAGTTGTGCTCGAGTCCCGTGGAAATCAAAGGGTTATAGTTCAACCTCATCATTATTTTGTGGAGCTCAGTGTAACAGAGACGCCATCCCCACTTTCAACCATCACAGCATCTCCTCAAGCTTCATGGCTGTGCATGGAGATACAAATCTAGTTATGTCATAGTCTTAGTGGGATATGATGCCAGTTTTCCTCCTGATGAATTCCCCTCTGCCTTCATTTTGATGGCACATTTTTCATGCAATGGCTTCTCCTTTACCCAAAGAAGCAGACTTTTGTCTGGGACCATCTGAGTCAAGGAAAACTGATCCTCTGCTTTTTGTAACAATCAGGACTGCTCATGCTTCCCATTTTCTACAGCAGTAGTTCCAGGAGTAGTTTTTGGGTTGGCTGACTTCTATAAAGACAGTACTGGAAACTGCTGGTTTCTCTCTGTTTTCTTTGTCTGTTGCAACATCTGTTTATCAGTAGCTGTCAGGTAACGTCAAAAGCATCCCTGGTCTTTCCAACAGAATCCGTACTTTGCACTGAGCAGGGGGCTGGACCCGATGGCCCTCTGGATGCTTCCAACTCTACTGTTCTGTGATTCTATGATTTAAAATCCTCTGTCACTTTCAGATAATATAAAAGCTTTGGAGAGGGATGGCCTCCCCACATGGCATGTTTTCTTTGAGGCAGACGGCACTTTGCCCTCATTACCATCTACGCCGCCACCTCGTTTGTTCCAAATGTCCACGGCAGTTGCTTTGAAGACTACCCCAGTGGGGTTCATTCTGCCACATCCAGCAAAATGTTATTTCTAGCACAATCGTGCATCCATGCAGGAGTGAAAGAGCATTAGAATTCTTTATGACAGTCAGATTTTTGCTACAGACAATATGCACCATATATAGAGAAGGCAGAAGCTGGGAGCTTTACTTAGACTAGAGTATAATAAATACTGGAATTTCACTTTTGGAAGGAATGTTTATAGCCCTGTATCTGTTGTTCATCCAAGAAGCTCTCAACTACAGCCTGTATTTATCCTTTATTAATCTACCTGACCTGCCTGGCTACTGTCCCCTCATCTAGGCCTCCATATTTCTCATTTTTATTGCATTTACGTCCTGGTCTTCATTTGAGAAAGCTCAAAATAGCTGCCTCAGAATCCCAAGCAAAGTTCATGCCCACTTCACTTTTGCAGTGCAACAGAAACAGATTCTGGGTCTCTTAGAGATGGGTGATAAAGGCTGCCTAGCTGGCGCTTGCTCAAAGTTTGGCGAAAAGCTGAGTAGCTTCTTGAAAACTCAACAAATAGCTTGGCTGGTTCCCAAGTCAGTCCCCCCCCCCCGCTTCCCTCCCACTTCGCTTCTCAGTTCCAGGAGCCGGCCTTGGAAAACAAGGAAAGGGAACAGAAAAGGCTTTTTCTCTGTGCGTAGCTGCAGTTGGCCAACAAAAAGCATTCTGGGGTCGCCATGGCCAAGCATGGATCTCTTTGTCCAGGGCCAGAGATATGCTTTATGGTGGCAGCGCATCACGATTATGACATTTCTTTCCTTCATCCAACCCTTTGGTTGTTTTTCCCATGATGTGGCTGGGGCTGCGAGAATCTCCTGGGCAGAAAAAGCCACCCACACACCAGGGCTTCATATTTGTGAATTTGCACACTAGCACATGTGTACAAAATCCATGAATGAGTGAGTGGCAAACTGAAAACTGCCTCACCGTCCTCAAAACAGAGACAGATTGGATTTTATAATGTGTGTATGTCCCTGACTGCAAATCCCATCTTCTCTGACTGTTGGCCATGCCATGTGGGGCTGACAAGCCTTGTAGTCTGGAGGGCATCTGGTTTCTTACCCCAACCTTTGCAGCTCTTCCTTGCGACCATAGCCATATCACACAATCGAGCGGGGATACCAAATGGGTGAGCCGAATAGATGGAGGACCTTTCTATGGATGTTTCTCTGTGATACTTTCCCTGATGCACCTGCTATTTAATCCCCTTGTTCCTGCACAAATGTCCTTTTTGTGTTGGCAATGGTGGGTGGATCTCTGGAGATGTGGTTCTGTAAACGGACTTCCTCACTCATTGGATAACTCTCTAGGAAAGATGGTGTCCTTGATGCACTTTCTGTCCCACCAGATGCTTACATGTTTGTGACATGGAGGAGATGCTGCTTCTCAAGCCGAATGCCTTCTCTCCTTACTGACCTGCCTCGTACCTAGATAAGCATAGGCATTTGGCTTCATGGTTAAAGGAACTTTTGAGGCCGCATGTTTCGGGAGGATCAGCAAGCACAGCAAGCCAGCCCTTGCCATAATGTCAAAGTGCCTGTAGGTTTCAAGAAGTATCCAGCAGTCAGACCAAGCATGACAGTCAGTATCTTCTCCGGGCTTGCATGATGCACATTCTCAACAAAGCAGAATGATTCTCGCAGTAAAAATATATTTCCGGGGAGCTAGGTCATATTCCATGGGGATATGGGTTTGTTGGCGCAAGTACAACAGACCTCTGGCATTGCATGAAACTTCTGTGTCTATGTTGAAGCATGCAGAGTTGCATGCATTTGGATCCTCCTCCAGGGGCTTTTCCCCCACCCGATGCCCTCGAGGTACCTCAGTTCCCATCAGCCACAGCCAGCATGACCATTGGCTAGGACGACTGGGAGTTGGAGTCCCAAACATCCGAAGGACACCAGGTTGGGAAAATCTATGCTAGGCATTCTAGGGAAAACGTGGGACTCTGAAACACGGTTATGCTAGTTAATATCAGTGTTTATGGGGCATCCTATAAAGAGCATCTAGAGAGGCTGAGGGAGCCGGGTCTTTTCAGCCTGGAGAGGAGGAGACTCAGAGGGGGCCTGTTAGTGACATGCAGGTACATGAGGGGGTGCCACGCAGGGGTGGCTCATGACTGCAGTGGAGGGCAGGACGCATTCCAATGGAGCAAACCTCAGGGCACCAAGATTTAGGCTGGATGCCAGGAAGTACTTCCTGATGGTTAGGTCCCCAAGGGCATGGAAGGGCTTCCATGGGAGGAGGTTAAGGCCCCATCGGTGCGGGTGTGCAAGGCTAGGCTGGACATGCACATGGTGGGCATGTCATGAGTGGAGCCGGCTGGAGCCGGGGGTCAGACTAGATGGCTCGGGAGACCCCTTCTGACTCGCTCTGTTTCTATGTTTCTATCCCTGAAAGCCAAGAACAGGTGCTGTGATTTAACAGCACAAAGCAACAGTGGAACTAGCCCTGGTAAACAGAAACAATGAGCTCATTTGCCCTTGTCTTTCCCTTATTGCTGTACATTGCAAGAAGTTGATAGCAGAGGCAGAGCTATCTTTGTGGAAAGCGCTCATTTTCTCATTGATAAGCTAACCTTTGCCTTTAGGTGGCATTTCTGTGATCTGTAAGGCTTCATGGAAAGGAAACCTTTAGGGAAAGATAACAGTTCAGTGGCAGGTCACCTATTTTGCATGTAAAAGGTGCTGTTTAAGCTTAGTGGGGGTTTCCAGGCAGATCGAAGACTCCCATCTGTAACCATGGAGAGGTACTGATGCTACTTAGGTAGAATCTTCAAAGATGTGAAGATACAACGGGGAGGGGAGGGAACTGGAAAGTAAGTGTGTGGGGGGAACCTGCTTTTCCCCATTTTTTGACAGATGTTTTTGGGAGATTGGGGGAGACAAGAAGGGGGTTTTTTCCTGGTGTTCCCCGTTTTTCACCGCATTTTTTTCTAGTTTTTCCCCAGCCATATGTCTAGATCATAGGTTGCAAGAAGGACCAATGTTTCAGTTCAGTTTAGGGCCATTTCTTCTGGCCACAAAAGGATAGCACAGATGCTGAAATATGGGTTTCATGGGTTACCTTGCACCTTTCATTCCATGGCCCCATCATTGACGGGATCAGATTTTGCAGTGTGATCAAGAGCATCTGTGCAAATCTACATGAGCGCACTACTGAAAATGTGCAAATATTCCCGAACTATGCAAATCCTTGAAAAATGTGCATTTCTACCTTTTAGCCTACAGGGGAAATACACATGTTTTGATTTTTCGATGATTACTTTTCTGCAAAATTATGGACACTTTTAAAAAGTGCTCTGCACATCCATGGATTTCATACAGCTCAGAAAAAGCCAATCCACTGCAGTTCATTACCAATTCTCCAGCGTCCCTCAGCTCAGCAGCATCCGTTGCCTGTTGCCTGTCATGCGAGCTTCTCTTGGCGTCCCCAGGTGCATGTTCTTCTGCTTTAAGCATTTAGATTGCGTGCTCCCAGATACCCTGTCCTAGAGCTAGTCTTTTTAGAAAGGCTCACAACGCATGGATGTTTGCATGCTGTGGAGACAGCACATCGATCTCTTCGCTCGCATGCGCGGAGATACAGATACGATGTGGCTGCTATTCATGATGCGCCTGCAGAAATAGCAGTTCTCCTCCTTTCTGTGCAGAAAGAATGCCAGCTCTAATGGAGATAAGTCCGTTATGTGAAGTTGGGTGTAATAGTAGAGAGAAGGGAGTGAGCAGCTGAGAACTGGAGCTTCATAACATACGGAGGTATATGTTCATAAGAATCCAGCGCTAGAATCCTCCTGGGATTTTACCATTTCAGAGGACTGAAATGGGGGGACAGCATTTCCTGCATGTGGAAAATTGCATGCCATTGTGAGGGACATTAAATCAAATCCCATCTTGACATGGTACAGTCCAAGGAAGGCTATACATTTTTTTTCCCTTGACAGCTGTTCCATCTGCGTGTTTCTGCCTGGAATTAAAGTTGATTTGGATGGTATATGCTGTAAACAAATCTTGGAATTACTAGATTAGAGTTGATTCTTTGGATAGATTTACACAAGTGGTTGGTGAGTGTTTATGTATTTAAAAACAAAAGGTAGATTCCTTTTAGTATAGAGGAGAAAATCTCCTTGTTCAGGCTTTTAAAAAGTATCAAAGTGACAATGTTCATAGTTGTTATTGTTATTATTAGGAATTCCCATGAGAAATGAGCAAATGAGGACCCAGAAATAAGCACCGAGAAAGGGCCCAGAAATGCAGAGATACATCCATTCCTTAATTAATTAATTAATTAATTTCTCTAAACAGCTGATGCTTTCTGGGCACCTCACAAAACAAGTGGACACCAATGTAAAACTGGGAATCTTGGTTTTCCCAAGCATCCAGTCCCCTCTTGAATTGACGGGCCTCATTTCTCCTCCTCTGGCCTGGCCTGCCACAATCCTTTGCCTGAATCTTTGGGGAGATGCCAGGAACACTTTCAGCTTGGCCCATTGCTGGGTTACCATAATAACATTGGAAGAGCAAATATTGGATTGTTAATAGCCACTGTAAAGTGGTGGTCCAAATCCTTACAGGAGCTTAATTGATGCTTATAAAACCATTTGAGTTGAAATCATTCCCTAAATTGCCTCTGAGGTCCTGCAATTTAATATTTTTGGGTTCTGTCTGCTTGCTTGGCTGGCTTGCCAAGTCTCCTCTGGAAATCTTATCCAAGGGCTGTCTTATAAGCAAATCTACACAGGTGCGCAAACAGGAGAGAACCAGGATCATAAATATGTAAGTAGTTACAAGTGGAACTCATTAACCAGAAAGCCCGATTCAATGATGTACTGTCACTCCGTGGTTATTTTGGCCTGCAAACCTAATTAACCAACTGGATCTCTATCCTTATTCAGAAGCAGAACCTGAGCTGGGGGACTTATCATTCTCAAAAGTTCACTGGGATGGATTCCAGCTCACCTGGACAGCAGCAGAAGGTGCCTATGAGAGCTTTCTCATACAGGTGCAGGAGCCCAACCAGGCAGAAGACGTGAGAAATGTCACCGTTCCAGGCAGCTTCCGCTCTGTGAATCTCACTGGCCTCCTGCCAAACACTCTTTATACGGTCATCCTTTACGGTGTAACTCAGGGCTACAAAACAAAACCTCTCTCAGTTGAATCTACTACAGGTATTCTTTTGCATTCATTCTGTCTCCCTTCCTTTGATGGATCCATTGCTTGCTTTGCAGAAAGAGAGGGGTGCCTATCCCCTTCTTACGCCAGTCTTTCTCCTGTTTCCATCGGCAAGCTTTCTATAACTTGGATGTTGTAGTAACCTCTTAACCTTTGCAACAGCGTGTTAGAGTAACTAACCAAACCAACAGTCTGCATGTCATTTGACCCCTTGCTTTTTCACATAAAAGAAGGGAAAAGCTGAAGGCAACTAAACAGAAATTGTTGTTGCCATCAATTTATGTATTTATTTCATTTCTACACCAGCCCAAGCTCCCTGGGCAATCTAATCAGTTAAGATATTTTCCTTAAGTAAATAATATTCTTAACAGATCTGAACTCCTAAAATGAGAGGAACTGAGGCTAGCCTCTGAATGAAAGTAATGTTTCTATTACCAAAAGTCCAAATCCTAAATCAGGGGAGGCTGGCTGTATGGTATTTTGTACATGCACAGGGGCACTCTCTTTATTGAATGAGCTGCATTCAGTGTTCAAGATCCAGCAAGCAGTGTTTCTCCCCTCCCCATCAAAAAATATTATTATTATTATTATTATTAACATTTCTATGCCGCCCCTTGCCGAAATCTCGGGGCGGCTTACAACATGATAAAATACATTGAAATACAATAGTACATAATAAATTACCATTAAATACAAAAATACAAAAAATACATTGACTTACAAATATAAAATTAAAACTATCAGTATAAAATAAAAATATAGGAGGAGAAAGAGAAGGAAGAAGAAGTTGCCCTGGCCAGATCATATGTTTTAACAATTGAAATGATAAAAAGAAAAATATCCGCACACATTTTATCCTCACAAAATCCTTCATGCTCAATTAGGCTGAAAGAAGGTTACCCAGGGTCATCCTTGAATCTTCATACTAAAGCAGGGATTTGAACCCTGTTCTGCCCACTTTCCCATGCACCTTGAAGGCAACCTTCCCCAGTGCAATGCCATCCAGATGTCGTGGACTACAACTCCTATCATCCCTGACCACTGGATGGGCTGGCTGGAGTTGGAGTCCAAAACATTTAGGGAGCAACAGGTTGGATAAGTAAATCCCAGGGTTCTATATTTTTTGTGACGATTGTTTTGAATTTCTTCCAGTTCCCTTGGTCCACTCCAAAAAAATATCCCTACGTCTTCTTCAATCCGTTGCAAATTCTTTTATGTTGCTTAAACAGCATCAGGGTTCTGCTACTTGCAAAACATGCATTGAGACCTTACACTTATTCCTGCTGCTTTGGAAAATGAGAAGGTTTGCCATAAGTTGCCAGGCTCCCATTCCCATGCAAAGCGCCTGCGCAAGCCCTTTCCCCTTGGAGATGCCTTCAAGAGCAGCTGCATCATCCCTGCTTCTTTGCTCGGTCCTTCTGCTTTTGCATCGATGTTTTAACCCACTCCAGCAAATGCCTGTCCTACTTGCTTGGCTGCCCAGACATCCTCCAGGCCTGCAGGCTGCCATTTCCCCCTCTCTCAGTGCCCTGGGGAAGAAGGTTTATGTGCTGAAGGTCAAGCAGAAGACAGTAGATTCTAGCCCATTAGAACTGCAAGGGAGTTCTGAGTTTTCCAAAGTCCCTGCCCTAGAAAATTGCATTCCGTACCCCCAAACGATAAATAATTATCATGATAAATAATTATCATTATCATGAAAACAATACCAGCAAGGAATGGGATGAACTCTTTCCCCTTGATGTGCTTATGTTTACATGCATTGAGGTTTGCACATATATAGCAGAGCAGTCAAAGGTGGTTTTCTACCACTCCAGGATTCGAACTTCTCATGAAAGAGCTTGTGTAGCTCACCCTGTGAAAAGTAGAAAATTCTCACTCAATTCAGAGGGTCAGGGAGGCAAATGTCCCAAGACCGGTACAACCCACAATCCTATATCCACTTAACATTTTCATCGGACTTACTTCTGAGCAGACACAATTAGGAGAGTGTCTGTTTTCATCTACAAATCACACCTGCCAGAACCTGAGGATGATCCTGAAAATTTGCTGCATGTGGAATATTTAAAGAAAGGCTTAGGGACCAGTTTGCGTTTCTGGACCAATAAACATTTGCACTATTGGTATTTCCTTTTCCGGGGCACAACTTTCAAGTGTTGCTGACCGGTGGGTGTCCCCTGGGGACATCTACAGAATGGATAGTGCTTTAAAACAGCATTTTGTTACAGAGCATTACAGGGTCTCATTCATTTCTGAAGATTGCTATCCCAAGACAGGATGTGTAGGAACCCTTTTCACTGTTGTTATCATCGAAAAGGACCTTCACTTCTGATCTAAGTCAGGGTATTCCTTCTCTAAAACATGCCTAAGAGATGCTAATCCACTCTTTTACTGAGATACCATGGAAGGAAATTCCCCATTCTGCTTTGATTTGCATTAAGCCGAAGCTATTGGAGCATCCATCTGCCTGTAACCATTTGTTTCTTCTCCCCTGTGCCTGCCTGAGCTTGTATCTCTTTCATTTCCTGCCTAGCACACTGGAAATGTTGGATTCAGCGTGGAACCAGCTTCAAACCTTCACTAAAAATGCTCATTGTTGTTTCTCTTCTTCAGCGATGAAGCCAGAAGTCGGTGATCTAACTATCGGGGGCATTACTCCCGAAAGCTTCAACCTTTCCTGGACAACCACCAATGGGAACTTCGATCTCTTTATCATTGAAATTATTGATTCTAACAGGTTGCTGGAACCTATGGAATATAACATCTCAGGCCATTTACGGAATGCTTATATCTCAGGGCTCTCCCCCAAAACTGATTTCATTATCTACCTCTATGGAGTCACACGTGGCTTCCGTACACCGGCATTAACGGCCACTGCTACCACAGGTATATGATCCTACCTCATATGTTAAAGCATGTGCTAATTGTCCTTCTGCCTACTTTCCAGGGAACCCCAGGGCACTTCCCAAGTTATCCCCTTGTGGTCTTCACTGGAAGTGGGCAAGCCTAACAGAGAAGAGCTGCTGAGCAAGGAAGGTCTACAAGTACTGGGGCTTGTAGCTAGAAAAAGTGGGAAAACTGGAACACGGTTTTATTTTATTTTTTTAAAATCAGGCACGGTGAAGAGAAAGTCATGGATACCGAGAAGGGGTCCTCCAGACACACAAACACACACTTTTCACATCCACAATAGACTAGCACTCTTCCAGTGGTGGTGAATGAACAGGGCTCCAGGGTAGACAAAAAAAGGGATTCCTTCACACAAGCATAATTTACACATTTAGTTTATTCCTGTACTTATCTGTGGACACAAAACATGGTGGCGGCCACTGGATGGGTTGACTTTAGAAGGGAATGAGATAAATTTATGGAGGATGGCCGTCAGAGGCTCCTAATGGGCTTCTGGCTACCGGCTGCTAGAGACTGGTTGCCTTTGTGTCTGGCTGGGCATGGCCCAAGAGGTGTTTGGCGGGTCTCTGTGGGAAGTGAGATGTTTGATCGGATATCTCTTTGCTCTGATCAAGCAGGCTCCTCTTGGTAGGAGGAAGGCCAGCTTCTCTAGAGAGGCAGATTACATTTGTTGGAAAGGGAGATGAGAGTCGAAATGGATTAGTTCTTCTACCGTCGCTACAACAGCATGAGCTAGAAAAACTTCTAAATCTTGGGGCGGCTAGCTGAGCACCTCATCAGACTGAAGAGAGTAGCTCACATAACCAAATCCGCCTGTCCGGAGACAATCCCAAGCAATGAATGCATCTAGGATAGCAAGATGCCAGGGCTTTGCTCTGTTAAGCACTTTGTTTAAACATTTTGTACCTCCTGGCAATCTCTGATGATTTTCAGTGCCAGATCTGTACATTTCCAAGTCTGCAATCTGCTCCATACACACAAACCTAAAATGGATGTTCAGTCTCTCTCTCTCTTATATACACACACACAGAGGCACATTTGGAACATGTGCAAAGGCAAATGCACATATTTTTAAAAAGCACACACAACGTGCATTTATGCATAGATTACAGATCATTGCATGCATTACAAGAAAAGCATTTGCATTGCTTTGAAGATCGTTTTTACAAAAGCTGGAGGCAATGGAACTAAACAAACATGTCCACATATAAGTGAGAGTAAGGCTGACAGTTCCATCTATCCCTAATCTTGCAGAAGGCTAGCCTAACCTCCTGAGATGCTAATTTTCTCTGCCCAGGGGTGTGTTGGGGGGAGCGTCCTGTGGGCCCTCCACAGTGGTACTTCTCATATCCAGCCAGTCACAGCCCATTGTATGAAGGTGCAGTTCCGTGGCGAGTGACATTAGACAGAGGTGACTTTTCCTCTGGGGATGTTTACGTTGCAATAGCAGTTTTAACTCAGCTGGGAAATAAACAAAGATGATGCTGGAATTGTTTGGGTTTTTAAATGGCAGAATTCTGTAGCGTTTCTGTAATCTGTTTTTGGAGGATGCATGTGGGCACCAAACTTGCGTGTGATGTCAGCAGTTGTCTCAGAAGCCCTTCTAGTGTCAGGGCTCAGGGCTCGTAACTGTAGGCTCTTGGTCTTGTTTGTCTCGCACATGGCAAAGCTTTGCTACTGGAGCAATGTTAAGCAAGTATTTTATACCTCCCCTGGATCCTCCAAATATTCCAGGGAAGTAGAATTGAAAACTTGCTGGATTTATGCCACAAAATCCAACTTGAGCGCACCTTTGAAGATGCTAGCTTTGTCTTGGAGGGAGGTCACTCTCATGGCCTTGGGAGCAGGTCCCAAGTATATAAGTACAGGCTTTTATGAGGCTCTCATAAACAGCATTGCCTGGGGCTTGAATGTCCTCCCTCTGGAGGGAGTTCCATAAACTTGGTGCCAAAGCTGAAGAGGCCCTGTTCTGGATGATCCTCCACTGTAACTCCGATAGCAGAGAAATTCATGAACAAGGGGTTTCAGCGAGCCTCATAAATGACAAGCAGGAAATTCAGCTGGGGAATGCTGGGAGTTGTAGAACATATTTCTGCCTGAATGTGCATAGGAGTGCTTCCTTAGAGCAGACTGGTGAGGATGTCTGACTCCTCACCAGTCTGCAGCATTTTTCCTCCAAATGGTCCTTTTTGGTGGAGTAGAAGAGCAGATTTATGTGTGAGATGGTGTGTGTGTGAGCTCCACTTCTGGACCTGGAAACAAATTCCCGAACTCGAAAGCACCTTGTTCTACAATGCGGTCTCCACCTTCCCAAGCTGCTATTTTACACATGGCTGTGGTTGGTGGACCTTGAGGTTCTAAGTCCCACAAAGCTAAACCATATTGAATTCAACGTGTAGAAGTGTTGATTCCAATGTTGATTCCAATGTGTGTGTTTTTTCTCTCTCTCCTCCTCATAGTAGCGGCACCTCTCCTTAGCAAACTCACAGTTTCCAATATTACCTCTGATGGGCTGTCCCTCACCTGGGAAGCGCCGAACTTTGCCATTGACCATTTTCTCTTAGAAGTTAGAAACTCCAACAACCAAACTCTGGACTCCCAGCTGCACACAGTGCCAGGGGACTCGCGGAGCTTTGTCCTCACCAATCTGAGACCAAGCTCTCACTATATCCTCCAGCTTCATGGCCTGATTGATGGGCATCATAGTCAGACTTTGACAACTCTGGCTACCACAGGTATATCGCCTCCAAGGTTTGCTTTTCCTGTGATTCCTTTTGCTCGAAATGCAGCCTCCGGGGACAATCTCTTCCTGTCTTCTTTTGGCGTTTAGAAGGGCTGTCCTTTCCTGGAATCCGAGTGAACTTGTTAGGGAGGAATTGTCACACCTTTTGTGTCCTCACAATTAAGGACATTCAATGAACGGAACCCTGATTCGTTCTTTTATATATGCACCCACACCATTCTGGCTCACATACCTTTTTCTTCAGTGTGCATATATAGACAAAACATCTACAGCCTATATGTGTGTATGGATATCTGTTCCTGTCCTAGCAGATGTCTTGATGTGTTTCTGGATGTGATCTGCATCACCCGTTCTTCTCCTTCTGTCCTTTTCATCTTGCCTGCCTTGCCTTTCTCATCATGAGGCCCGGCTGTTCCAAGACTCTTGTCTTTCTGGGAAGTAATCCTTTGCATGCAGCCTTTGCATACGGATGATTCCAAAGACCCAACGTGATGTTGGGTCTAGAAGAAAAGATCCCCAAGTTCCTTGTATGTTCTTTTCTTTTTGTCCCAATACTGCGACGTATCAACCAAAAAATGGAGGATGTTGCATGAGCCTTCCAAGGACCTTCTCCACCTGCCATCTCTGCAGACATGATGGTGTCAAATCGGTAGCTAGAATGGAAAACCAAAGCCCAACTCTTGCTTCGGCTTCAGCCCAGAGGAATGTCACTTCTATCTTTGTCCTTGATGACGTTAGTGAATGGGTCTAGGATGCATCTTGCACGATGCCAGAGAGCGTTTGGCCAGGAGCACCTCCAAGACTTTGTTATGGGTCACACCCCACAAAATCCTCTCAATGAAGTGCATGTGGGGCCCTTTGAGCTTATTGGGATGTGAACGCATGCTTTGGAAATGTCCCGCAGAGTGCAAGTGATGAGGAAGCCATTTGTGACTTGCATGAAAGTCTGACGGCACCAGATCTGTCCCCTTTCCATTCTGTATGCTCTACCAGCTTCAAGGGACCTTGTACTCCTTTCACTGAACTTCTGTCTCTCATAAGTCTTCTGCGTTCCGGGGACTGAGGAATGAAACGAACACGGGGCAGCATGCAGGTGGTTCTGGCATGGGTCCTCGGTTGGAATCATCTGGACAACATTCCCAGAGAAAACAGAATTGACGCGAGTGCAGCTGGCCTTTATCACTCTCTCCTCACCTCTGCTTCTACTCCTGCTCCCCACATCTCCCCACTCTTTTCCCCCTTATACAAAAAACCAACAAGGCTTACTCTGGGGGAGGAGAAAAGGGAGGCTGTCCAAAAAGGGGTGCTGGGACTAATTTTAGCATCTCGCGGATGCTGGAAGCCAAGGTAACCTTCTGCACACCATACTCTTGCAACGGTCCACGGGGTTTGAGACAATGTCTCTTTGTGGTGGTTTGAGACACGTCCTTGGTTTCCTGCCACACAGCTGTCCAGCAGTAATGCTCGTCTCTCTTTCTTCAGAGGCCGCACCCCAACCAGGCAGACTTCCACCCACAAGGGCTCATGCCAACACCTTCAACCTCTCCTGGACCTCGAGAGATCGGCCTTCTGTAAAGTTGGCTGTCAATGTTAGAGATTCTTACCCACTCCAGGAGCCTCCGGAGCTTCCCGTTTCAGGAGAGGTCCACGGCACCCTTGCCTCAGGCCCAGTAGATTACACTGATTATGACATTAATGTCCAGGGAACGACCACAGGCAGGGGCCACTCCGAGCCTCTCATCTCCTTGGTGATGACAGGTACCCATTTCAAAGTTATTGCTGGTGGGCTGCTTTGGTTGGTTTCATGACTCTCAAGGGCCATCTGTTCCATTTTAAATCCCCCCCCCCCACTGTCAGGCAAGTGCCTAACGATGGTGCCCCACTGAGTTTAGCAGGTCTGTTGGAGGCGATTTCTGGGGAACGTAGAGTGAGCCAGCCCTGACCCGCATGGCCGTTGGTCAAGGATGAGTGGAGCTGGTACCAAGAATATGTGGAGGGCAAGACTGAAAGTTCTAGAAGTTCTTTCCAGAGTGTACCAGGATCCGTATTGCTTTGATCGGATTCTGCTCGGTGCCTTTCGCTCAGTCATAATTGGTCTATTTAGGCCACTATGCTGTATCTACTCATTTTATTTATTTATTTTTATTTATTAAAACATTTTTATGCCGCCCCATTCGCCGAAGCCTTGGGGCGGCTTACAACAATAAGTTAAAATAATTATACTATAAATCAA